TTTGGTTGGACGACCATCTAGATATCTTTACTCAAATTCTTGAAAAAATTTAAATTCTATGGGATATAATGCATCAAGAACACTACCTAAATTTAGGGTATGATCTGCACGATCTATCTAAAGTTTTTCGATGTTCACGTGACAGAGACATTTTCGATGAAATTGCTATGTACTACAGTCCTCAGCATTAGCATACGTAATTAATTTTTAATAATCTACATCTCGATTTTTTTTTAAAAAATGGGCGTTTTTTTACGTTGCACCTGATATCAATTTTTGCGCGCCGTCCCTATTCTATTATAAACATTAAACCTATACCTATCAGCCATTCTACTATTACCGTGTAACACATGCCTGAAAAGATACGTCAGTTACTTTACTCGAAGTTGATTGTCTTTCGTCACAAATGTCGCCAATCATGGAGGAAATTCTTTCCGATTCCAACAGCGTTCTTACTTCAGACGAGCCATTGTCACCAACTCTACAGCCTCAACGAAGGTTAAAAGCCAAGCCAACCACTCAGCTTTCGTTTGATATTTCTTCTTCTTCTTCCTCCTCTGGATCGTCAATAAAGAGCTTTAACGCAGTTTCAAATAAAATCGACACGGGTGCCGATTTTCTTTTGGGCCTAATAAGCAGATCTAATCCGGCTACGTCTTCCGAACGATCCACAATTTCCCCTTTTCATACCGTCAAAAACGGCAAGAGACCATATAGTAGTATCAGTCTGCCAAAAGAAGATCCTTCGGAGGAAGAAGAGTTAGACCAACCAGACATTCGTATGAGTAGGCTTGTACTTTGTTTTGTTCGAAACTTGCTCTAATACTACAATTGAAAGTGTTAATACATTATCTTAAAACTTTCATCAAGACTCTGATCATTTGGATCATAATGAATCCATAGTTTCAAGAAATGACATCTCCGCAATTCCAGACGATAAAGAATATTCAGGCTACCGGCGCAAGTATGGAAATGAAGGTCGAAGGTGTTTGCTAAAAAAATCTAGGCATACAATGTTGCAAATTTGGTAAATCCTTAGCTGATCAGCTTTATTAATCTATAAAGACCCCCAGTCTATGACTTGGTCGCGACATAGGAAACATTTTTTCATTCTAAGCAGTGCTGGAAAACCAATTTACACTCGGTACGAATCACAAAAGGTTCTTAATTTGTATTTGTCAATTTAATATAAATCCTATCTTTATTTTTTTCAAAGATATGGTGACGAATCACGTATCTCGAGTTATATGGGCGTAATTCAGGCTATCGTTTCATTCTTTGCTGATGCTGATGACACAATAAGGTCTTTTACTGAATCAAAAATTGACAATATTCTTTATTTGTTATTTACAATTTAACATATTATATGTAGATGCATAAATGCTGGCCAACATAAATTAGTGTTCTTGCTCAAAGGGCCCTTATATCTCGTTGCTGTTTCACGAACAAACGAATCCGAAATGCAGGTATAGATTGAATTAAATTTTAATTATTCTATTTGTATAATATTATCAATTTAAAAAAAACATTGGACTTTTTTCGAATAGCTTAGGGATCAATTGAATTACTTATATAATCAGATCGTAAGCGTGTTGACCTCGACACAATTGACAAAGATTTTTGAACACCGAGTTAATTTTGATTTACGTCGATTGCTTGGAGGTAGATGTATAATACGTAAATTTTTTTTTGGTTTAACTTTTCCTTTTCTAATTAAAACACTTTAGGCACCGAACCGTTTTTGGATAATCTTGCTTCTACAATGGGTGATGATCCGGGTTTTATGCTTAGTTCAATCCAGTGTGTAAAACTGTGCAAAGATTTACGTGATAAAGTAGGAGGTATAATGCAATTAATAAAACCCAAGGTAATTGTCACGTGCTTTACATATTCATTCAGCTTAAATACTGAATTCGGTATATGTTTTGTTACAGGAACTTTTGTATGCCATGTTGATAACGAATAATAAGTTAATAACACTGCTTAGACCGAAGAAGCATAGCCTTCATCCAGCAGGTGAGTAAAGAATCTGATTTTATATAATCCGATGAATAATTTTTATTATTATGACGGCTATATATTCTGTTTATTAGATCTTCACTTGGTATTCAACATGGTTAACGGATCTTCGACTTTTCGATCCGTCGAGTCATGGACACCCATCTGTCTTCCAAAATTTAATAATAAAGGTTTTCTTCATGCTTACGTATGCTATATTGCCACAAACGTATGTTTGCTGTTTATATCACCAGATAAAGATAAATTTTTCGAGTTTTCTGAGGCGAAGAGCCTTCTAAAGGAGGTAAACACGTATTATATATTTATATGCCTCACTGCTTAAATCATTTGCGTTATTGTAATTTTAGGCTGAATTTTGGTTTTAATATAGAAATTGTCTGCTTGCAACGCTTTGCAAGAGATTGAAGATTCTTCACAAAACGAAGGCTACTCTATTGGTAACTAAATCATATCTTTTGACATTGTAAAACCTTTTGTTTATTAATATTTATTTTGTCCATTGTTTAATTAGCTGATATCGGTGTTCCAGGCTTGCGTCATTTTATTTATAAATCGAGGATGCACGTACAATATACTTCACCGACCTTTGTTGCACCTTATAATGACCCTCGAGAAAAACAAAAGTGAGTTATTAATTGACGCATTCTATATTATTTGATGGTTCTTACTAATATTTAAATAATTAATAATTCCAGGTTATTTAAATTATATCGTTACACTCATGACCGAATGCATTCACGTTTGAGACCTCTTAAAGTTCATTATTACGTTAGTCCCACTGAAACAATATTAGGATGGGTATGTCAATACATTTGTTTTAGTTATAAATTTGATGTTTAGTTATTTCACTAATACGTTTTCTTTTGAATAAACTCAGATAACTTGTAGCTTTGAGCTTTACGCTGCGTTTGGTCCACTGATGTCGAAGTCTGCACTAACATCCTCATCTCATACGTTGCTAAGATGGATAAAAAAGGAAGAAGAAAGCTTATTCATTGTTTCTTCACCGGTGTTTTAACTATATATGCATACATCTAAATATCCCGAGTGCGCTGCTACATATTTCTAGACACATTGGATTTTCCATTAGATTTGAATAAATATTTGTAAAGTTTATATTAGTAGTAAACATCTTTCCATAATGTTGTTTTTATAAAAATAAGCGAAGTGTTATAGATGTTCGACATTTCATACGATTTTAACAAGCATTGATATACATCATAGCATTATTTTTGTTGAATTTAAATAGACAGATAAATTCCAAATCAATACTTTGAAAAATCAACCTTTGTGATTTCTACAAATTTTTATTGATTGATCTTTTTTTTTTTTTTTGAAACATATGCAAAGGGAAATAAAAGAAAAACGTAACCTAAAAAAACAAATTTACAGAAAAAATAAACAATTTGATTAAAGGAAAAAACAATAAGAAATGTAGTTATAGTTAATAAAAAGTTCGATTTATATGAATTTAGAATTTCATGACAATTCTGTCTGCAAAAATCTAGATGAGATATGCGTTGATTATACGGATATTATTTTCCATTGTCCTTCATGAAAAGTATGATATATGCGCAAAAACAGTAAAAACATAAGTCCTTCGTACAGACAAAGCAAGATTAAAAAATTAAGTTCATTGAAGTTGACCAAAAATTGATTATGCCAATTGAGGATCAAATGAGAAGGAATCCCTCCGTTCTGGCGGGAAAAAGGGATCCCTTAAAGAATCCCTCCTCTCAGACGCTAAAAAAGAATCTCTACGATCTAGATTAAATCGTTCTGCATGAGTAAAAGTAGGACCAGAACTGCTTCCAAAACTAAAGGTAGAATCACGTCTTTCCAAACTAAAAGAATCCCTGCGATCAGTTAAACTGTATGTGCTATCCCGACGTTCCAAACTGAAAGTAGAATCTCTACGATCAGTTAAGCTATATGTGGAACCTCGTCTTTCACCATTAAAACCATTAAGCCCATTGCCATTATTGTTACTACGTACACCTAACGGGTTCTTCGAGAAACTCAACCGAATTCCACCCTTTACAGAATTGCTGAGAGGGTTGCCATAAAGTTCATTCATTGCCTGAGTGGCATAATGTACATCTTCGAATTCAACAAAGCACATGGGACCATTTTGTTTAGTTCGAAAGCACATGCGTTTATAACCAGGACAACGAGAGAACAATTGTTTAAGTTCATCTTCGGAAGTATTCATTGGCAAGTTTCCAACATAAAGAGTATTACAGGGAGGATTTTGATCAGCCGGATTTGGAGGACGAAAGCCAGGAGAAGAGACTGATGGAGAAGAGGAGACGACGGATGGAGGAACAGCTGAAGTGTTAATGGATAGTTGAGACATTGCGAGTGGCAAGTCTTCATTCACAAGCAAAGCAGAATTAAAGCCATTTGTTGGAGTCTTTACGGTTTTAGAAACAATTTCAACAGGGTTAGATTTTGAAAGGTAGTTAATATCTTCATTATCAAAGATTCCCTTAGTACTATTAGTAGTAATATATCGAGGACGTGAAGTAGCACCAACCAAACCATTCGCAGCATCAAAAGAACCACGAGTCGAAGAAGAGAAAGGAGTTTGATCAGGGAACACAGGGGTTGTGGGCGTTGTAGGAGTATATACACTCACATCAGAATAAAAATCATAACCATAATCCTGAGGAGAAAGAAGATCACTTGGTAAGGGTGGAGGAGCGAGAGGAGGAACAGAATAGAAGGCTTCATATGTAGCATTAGCGGTATTGATATTACTCGGAGTTGGAAAACGTTTGGTTGGGGATATGAGAGGATAAGCGGTATTTTGATCACCAGGAAGACCACGTTTAGTATGCAAGTTTTTCTTTGCCATTTCAGCCTTAAGAACTGACCCTTTTTCGGCATCAACCTTTCTTCCGCTTAGAATGTCACGAGCTTCAAGGGCTTCAAGCTTAGTACGGAACTTTGCAAACCCAATCTAAATGTAAAAATAAAGTGATTAATAATTTAAATAAAATATTTAAGTTATAACTAAAAATTCAACAATCTGATTTATATTCATTAAATAACAAAAATAAAAATATTATTCTATAACGATGATATAAGTAATTCAAACGTACAATTTGTTTTCTTGCATTGCTACCATTAACAATTCCGTTTCCATTACCATTTCCAATGCTGTTACCATTTGCGGGCCCATCATCGTCCGACGAATCCTTTTGTGGAATCTTCAAAGTAGCAGCCTCGAAGCCAGGAGAAAAGATGAACATGTTCTGGAATTCTCTTTCTTGCATATCGTCGGGGAAACCGACGACAAAGATTGTAGATATCTCTTCGTTTATCATAATGAAATTAAGTGATTATGTTGGGAAGGATGAGAAGGAAGGTGAATACTAAACAGTGAAGCGAAAAAGGAATTATATGTACAGAAAAAAAAAA